AGTACAGGAAATGATATTCGATCATTTGTTATGAAACTAATATAGGTAGTTCGTTCTGACATCTCTCTCAATTTCTTATTCTCTTTCACACACACAAGCACTCAAACAAACACAAACACAAGTACGCTTCGACATGCACACACATATTATTCATTAAATGTTCTTCTTATCCATTATACAGATGTACAAAGATAAGAGCAGTTGGGAAAACCTGTAGTCAAAGAAAGAGGAAGAAAAAGCAAAGAAAGTCGTAGCTAAAACAAGGAAGTTAATGGATTTATGAGCTTCGTCCTCTTGTGCCAAAGCCATTGCCAGCCAATACAGCGGAAACAACAATGTAGACGCTAAATCTCTGGGTGCTGATATATCAGATCAAAGCCTTGCCCTCAATCAGAAAGTGTCAAAAACAACTGCTTACTAACTGAGTTTGTGAAAACAATCATACAGAGACTACAATTCTCGATGCTGATGACCGTCAACCTTATCAAAGTGAATAGAGCCCATACCAATAGGAAGAAATCAATTATTGCAATGGCGATTATGATAATAACCCATTATTTACGTTCGACATTGGGACATGGACAAAGGTTTCTGACGAAATGAGAGATTACCTCTTGCCAGTACATGGATGCGAATTTCAGTGTATCTACAAAATCGATTCTGGGTGACGAGTATAAATGCCAATGTTCAAAGACTTTTTTATCGCGAACAATTGAATGGAGAAAAGGTTAAAAGAGACTGGCTTTGCTACTCACTATCAAAGGGAACGTCTTCTGTGTTATATGCAAACTGTTTTCAACAGCAATGGAAACTTCTTTGCTAGGAATAATTGGTTAATCTGACTGGAAACATGCTACAAGGGTCTTTAATCGACATGAAACAAGTCTGCTGCATCAAAGTTGTGTCATCAAATTTGTTATTCATAAAATCAAAAGCGGAAAAATCGATAAGACTTTAACAAAACGATGGAGTCAGAGAAAAATACTGTTACGTATCTGCTCGTTTGTTAATTTCCGATATAATTTTTTTCGAGGAACTTCAGCGATACAAGTCCTTTCTTAATTAAAACTAGTTTATTCTTTCTCGATACAAACTTTGTGATACACTTAACAACTTTTATAACACATGTTATAAATCACAGCGATTCACACACTTTACTTATGATGCCTAATGTTCATTTGACTCAATTATCTATCTCTTCAATCTATCTGCATATCTATCTATATCACTTCAATCGTGCTGGTTTATCTCGTCAGGCTTATATACTAAAAAAGAGGGTGCCTCGAACAAACTAGAGTTGCCAGGAAAATTCATGATTCTTCGAGAAACTCCAGCGCACATGCTCCCAGAATCACGTGACTTCTGCTGTCGTAACAATACTGACACCAAGTTCCAGATCATATTCTCCCAATCATAAAGTTTCTATCATCCAGAGGGCTAGCATTCAAAGGAAGCGATGTACTAGTTGGTTCAGTGCATATTGGTAATTAATTAGGAATATTGGAACTATTGGCTGTGTAAGATACATTTCTTGCTGAACACATTAAAAAGTGCACAAACAAGAGAAAAGGACATGTTTCATACTTATTCTCAACTGTTTGTGACAAATTCATAGAAATTCTACACAAAGAAGTTCTCACGTCATTATCCAGGAACTTAAAACATCCAAGTATTGCACAGTGTCTGTTGATTCTACTCCAGATATATCCCACTCGGAGCAACTTACAATAATCTTTAGATACGTTCTAGGTGATGGCCCTGTAGAGTGATTTGCCACATTCTTACCAATATGTAATCACACAGGAACAGAACTTCCTAGAGTTTTTTTTTTATTTTCTTGAAAAGAATGGTATACGAATTCAAGATTGCTTTAGGCAGTCTTACAACAATGCATCCAATATGAGTGGCAAATATTTTGGCATGCAAAATTTGATCAAAGAGAAGAATCCCCTAGCATACTATGTCCCCTGATGTGCTTATTTGTTCAATTTGGTTGGACAATGCACTGTGGACTACTGTACTGAAACTTGTTTATTCTTTGTCTTTGTGCAGAAGCTTTATGTATTTTTCTCAGCTTCAACCCGCCTGTGGAAGTGACTACATGATGTGCTGGAAAAATTAGGGTTCCCGACGATAAAGAGGTTATTAGACACATGATGAAGAGCCTATTCATATACTATGCGAGCCTTAAAAGTGAGGTACAAAGCCATAACACAAGTCCTTGTTCCATTAAAGATAATGATTCTGAAAAGCCTCAGTGTGCTTAGACTGAAGAAGACTTATGCTCACAATTAAAGCAACTAGAAACAAGTATAATGACCGAATTATAGAGCATTATCCTGGAGAGGTTTCACAGGACAAGTCGTTCATTACAAAACTCTCAAATGGATGTCAGTACAGCTTCTTATCTGCTAAAAAGCCCAGCATGGCCATGTGGTTAGGGAGCTTGATTCGTGGGCTCGAATCCCTGTCCCACCAAACATGTTCGCCTTTTCAGCCATGATGGCATTATAATGTGAGAGTCAATCCCAGAGTAGCCCAAGAGTTGGTGGTGGGTGGTGATGAATAGCCGCTTTCTTTTTAGTCTTACCCTGCTAAATTAGAGACGGCTAGCACAAACAGCCCTCGTGTAGTTTTACGTGAAATTCAAACAAACATCTACTAAAATATCTCAAACTATTTGTGCAGGAATTATAAGATTCATTTCCCAAATATGAGGAAAAGGGTAAGGTCGAGGATGCTATAATTGATCAGAGACTTCCGTGGACTGCATCTGCAGATATTTATCAAGTCAAATTGATTAAGTTGTAGAGATGAAATATTGTTCAAATGCAGCTGTAATTGAGAGTTGGGTCAGAGGAATCCAAAAATATGTAAAAAAAGGTTGAGCAGAAGGGAGGAGAAATTGAAATATCGAAAAATACAGTTGGCGTCGAGAGTTCTGTGCCTCGAGTAAGAGGCGTGACGGCATCAGAATCTGGAACTTGATATTTCGGGAGAAAGATTTATGTAAAGTAAGACATATTATGTGAAAATAGACAGTGAGTTTTTCCATTGGCAGATCAGGTACGTGATATACTTCGAAGATACAACCCTGCAATTATTCTTATATTTTATAGGAATGTTTGTTTGAAGTTAAGCACAAAGCTACACAATGGGCTATCTGTGCTTTTCCCACCACGGGTATCGAAACCCGGTTTCTAGCGTTGTAAGTCTGCAGAAATACTGCTGTGCCTCTGGGGGGCTTTATAAGAATGACCAACAGTGATATGGTAAGATACGGAATTAAATAACATTCTTTTCTCGTGTATGTAATGCCATGCTTTCTCAGTCTGGAACAGATTCTTCTCCGGAGGTTGACAGAGTCTTGTTTCATCACAAAGATCTTAGGAAGCTCCATTAAGAACGGCATCTTTTTCCGAGTACACTCATTCATTTTTTTATTTATTTGTGAAATAAGTAAAGATTGTTTTACGTTATATCAAATCCTTTTTATATTTCACATTCCACTCAGAGTCATGGGATTCAGATTTACTCTTGCAAAACACAATGAGCTATCTGTGCTGTGTTCACCACGGGTATCGAACTAGATTTTTAGCTCTATTAACAAAGTTTATCAGTGTGACTTGGAAACAATGATTCAATGAGAAAGATTATTTAAAATTATAAGCTCTAAGTTTTATCTTAAAACGATATAAAAGACGCGTATGAAAACATGTGAATATCCGACTGGTTATTATTTTCCAGAGTGACATATTTTCATATTTACATGTGGAATTAAAAAAGAGCCAAACTTACAGCCAATGCACATTGGAGATCATGAGATTAGTTATTTAGTCAGTTTTTCTATCAAGTTTTGAATGCCAAAAATATAAATTCTTATATCAATAACAACAACAAATCATATACGCTAAATTACAATTTTTACATCACATTTATTTGGTGCCGATTCTGGGGGACTCTAGCATAGCCTAGTGGTAAAAAGTATTCGACTGGCAATCTGCGGGTCAAGAGTTCAAATTACGTCACCGAACATGTTCGCCATTTCAGCTTTTTGGGCGTTATAATGTCACGATCAGGGCCATTTTTCGTCGGCTAAAGAGTAGCCCAAAAGTTAGAGGTGGGTAGTGTTTATTAACTGCCTTTCCTCTAGCCTATCACTTCAAAATTAGGGACGGTTAGCGCAGGTAGCCCCCGAGGAGCTTTGTGCGAAATTGAAAAAACAATTTTAAGTGTGCCAACATTTGTAAGGTACGAATACCGTATTGAATACATTTCCCCTTCCCGATTTCAGAAGTTTTAAGCATAATTTTGTTTTCTGTAAAAAAATTGCCAAAATGGTTGGTACATTATTGATCCCATTTTGTTTCATCATTGATGTGCTAAATATTATTTTTTTTTATAATTCAGACACTTTGTATTTTAGTAAGATAACACGTGTTGATTTGTAGATATTTTATGTAAATGACTGAATGAATTTATTTCTATGATATTTTTAATATATTTAACTATCGGCCATTTTTCATATACATTGTTACATGTGCTAAATAAGTGTCCCATGGGGTAGGCCTGGTATGGCCAGACGGTTAGGCACTAAAACGATAGAATCAACAACAGTACAAGAAGTTATTGAGAGATGAGTTAAGTCATTTTTTGCTTTTGGTGTACATATAGTGCGAAACGAATTGGCTTACGAACATTTAATTGTTCTTAACTAATTTTGAATTAATATTTATTGGATATTAATGTCATATATTTTACCTTTGTTTGTTTTTAATCTCAAAGCTACTCAATGGGCTATCTGTTCTGCGCTCACTGTGGGTATCGAAACCCGGTTTTTAGTGTTAAAAGCCTTCAGACTTACTGTTGAGCCATTGGGGTGGGGGATCATATTTTAAGATATTAGTTTGTCTGACGATGTAAAATTAAATTCTGAAATGTTATTTTTCTGATGTAAAAAGTTAGGTATAGAGGACGCTGTACGCCATTTATTAGAACACATGGTTTAAACTTTAAACTAAACATCATGGCTGTAAACGTGTGGGAAAGCGTTCCGGAAAACCCTAGTTTCAAATATTTACAAAATATAGATAACTGGAAGCCAAGAGAAAATCTGTATCAGGTTAGCGTATAACGATGATATTATCTGTTTCATAAAGAACTACATATCGTTTAGTTTATTGTACTCTATGTTAGTTTACACAACATTTCTAATTCTAAACTTGTCTGATGACATTGACACTGACAGTGTTGATGTCACTATAGGGTATAGTACAATGTCTGTTGTATAGTTAGTGTTACAGTAACACTGTTAGATAAATAAAACCTTCTTTACAAAAATTTAGCCTTTTTCAAATTTTAAACTTGAGTCCTCTCTTTCTGTTGATTGTTGCCTGTAGAATGTAGCCCAAAAACAGATAACCCTGTAAACCTTATGTTTAAATAAGAATTAAGATGGAAAATACCATGTTTTCAAAGACTTTGACTTGAACTTTGAAGATGCAAGATGGAAGTCTTTCAAAACATCAACCTTTCCATCTGTAGTACTTTTGTTGATCATTTAATTTAAATTTATTACTTCACTATAATAAACATAAGCAAAATACAATTATAGGTATTATACAGAAAAATAAATTGTTTGTACATCAGATGATACATTGTAGAATTAAAGATTTAATTTTACATTGAAATCATGACAAATAATGTTTTGTGTCTTTGATAAGTGGTGACCATGCAGTATTGAGTAATTATTGGCAGTTGTTTTGACATAGTTTTCTTAAGTCCTCTTACACTTGCAACAGTCTTACAAAGTTCTCAGTCCTCTACCAAAAAAAGTGGTTTATAGCACTCAGTGCGAGTGTAATAAACAATACATTGAGGAAACACAATGCCCATTACAGATAAGGTTCAAAGAACACCAAAGAGATACTAAGAACTGTGTTATAAACACATCAGCTATAGCTTTTCATATTCAGGAAAACAACCCTATAATAGACTTTAAAATGCAAAAATAATAGACAGAGAAGAAAATGCCAAACAGAAAAATCAAAGAAGCTATTGCCATCCAACCACATGATAATGGACTGCTAGTGGGTATTAAATGGGTGACACCACATTTCAGGCTTTTAGCTTCCTCTCTTCTCATACATGAGTGAAGAGTATACCCTGGATGAGAAGAGATGCAGTCTCCCATGGTTGTGTCCCTATGAAGCCCCTTCCATTGGGTGTCACACTCCATGGGTTTCCTTTAGATACTTTCAGAAGGAGACTCATCCAGATAATCTTTGCACTGGTCACTCCACCATTTCAATATGTGATTCTAACTAACTGTGTATGGAGGTGAATATTCATTTCAGAAGTTAACATTTTCCTTACTTGAAAATATATTTCCAATAGATACTTACCTCCTTACACATTCCCACCCATACTCTCCACTTTCTCAGTGCACTTTTCTTTATTGCCTCATCAAAGAATGAGAATGTAGAGGAAGGATTTGTGCAAGGTAGCGCGTTGCACTCCTATTGATGGAAGATTTTGCTGCATGATACATCGTCATGTAGTAGTGCAAATTTGTGTGGACACGTGTAAATTTAGGTGGGAGTTTTCATAAGGCTGGCATTATGCAGAAATGTGTGACATCAAGAGGAAAATAGATATCTGTGTACAGAGGTGAGTATCTATCAGAAATGCATTTTCAGATAAGAAAAATGTTAACATATCTAAGAGAACACAGTCTATTACAGAACAAACAAAAAGAAAACACAGCATAAATGCTTGTGCAGACTGAATCACAGTCAAATATAATTATTATACACTCTTCTAATTCTTGAAAATTCCTTAGGGACAAGATATAAAATGTAGTGTTAAAGCAGTATAATAATAGATCTAATACTAATGTTTTATTACATGTATAATTAATCAACCTTCTTTCATTTAAAGAAATAAGATACATGTGACTTCACCATGGTATGTTGTTACTCTGTATTAAAAAATTGAAAAAGAAAGAGTGACACTGATTTTGGCAGTGAAGCTTGTGGTGAGTTACATTTGTGCATCTTCTGCATCTGCATTTAATAACTCATGCTGTTATTGTTATATTTGATTTAATATAAGCATAGAGTATTTAGATTCAAATGTGATATTTTAAGTTGAGACTTTCATAATCCCTTTTATTCTTAACAATTTGTTTATTGGCTTATTTTTATTTCTTTTGTTTCAGTATACCTGAGCATCCTTTATTGTACTAGTTGTTTTTATTCATTCCTTATTAATGTAGTTAGGAGTTGGTGTTTGGGTTGGCCTCAAAAAATATTCCTGCACTGAACATTTAAGTTAAGCTGTCCATTCTATGTTTATCAAAATATTATGCATTTTTGGAAGTGTAATGGACTAGTGAGGGAAAGTTACTTATTACAAATAGTATTTATTCAAATATACCAAGAATGCAATCTGGTTTTTGCACACAGATTACCAACTCAAGCAAACTTACATGGGAATAAGAAACAAGTCAGAGGCTTTTTGAATGAAAACACAACATTTATTATCACCAAAGTCCTCAAACATTATGTTAACAATAAACATATATAGTTGCAGTACCTTTAAAGAACTTAAGAGCTAAAACACAACAATCCTTTAGTTACAGATGAAGAAACTATACTTACTGCAGAGACTTGCATAGGTGGAGCAGAAGGCATGGCTGGCTGAAGGTTTATAGCTTGTGGGGCAGACTGAAAGCTGGTAGAGGCTTTTTGATACAGCTTCACTTACTATGGTTTCTACCTACCTTTTGTTTATGTTATCTTGCTTACTGCTGTGCAGCATGTTGTTTACACTTAGCAAAAACTCCAGGTTGCAAGTTCTGCACAATAATTCTTTGTTCTCAGGGCCTAGAAACTTGAGGTTACTGACACATGAAATTCAAGGATAACCTTTGGCAAGAACATTTACTTAACACTTTATCATTAATATTATTACTCACCTTTTGTTACCACTTTTTAAGTTTACATTGGGCTTATTATCGGACTCATTACTGACCAAAAGTTAATGATCTGTCATTAATTTTCTTCACAGGCTGATATACAATGGTGCTCTTTCACAGAGATGTGATTTATGTTTCTGTGTTCTCTCGATAGAAAATCTAGTCTTCAGATAAACATCTTGGCTATTAATGCACCAGAGTGTTGCCCATGTAATTAAAGTGGAATGAGTTCATATATTTAGAAGTTACTAGACCACCGTGACCCGTTGGGTCAACAACTATTCAAAGGTTATGAAGAATTCAAGCTAATTTCAATATT